AAGAAGTGAGGTTTTAACTCACGAAAGCTTATGCCCAAATAAATCTGTTAGTCTTTAAGGTGCCACCAGACTCCTTGTTGTTTTTCTTTATCTTCTGTTCTTTTAACTTTTAGGTGATGCTCAGGTCACATTTTTAAGTTCTCGCTAACCATGATGACTGGAAACTTACTTTGTTTTTGAAAGACAGCTGAGATTATGTATCCACATGACCTCAGGAGCTGGGGCTTTAAGAAATACACCAAATGCTGCAAGACTTGTGATAACATTGTGAAAGTTGGGAAAGTACACTGGGATGTACCTGTACTTCACCTGGGAGCGCTCTCCCAAACGGGGTGGGAGGGCTGAGGCTGCTAGTTGTGCCAGGGAGATGAAACAGTTGGACTACGTGATCTTGTTAAAATTGGAAATAAAGAAAACCTTAACTAGTGGTTTGGGGAAAGGCTGAAGAAATTGCACTACAAATGTATTATTGATGCAGTCCTAGTGTAATTCTGTGGAATTGGTAAAGTTACATCAGGGATTAATTTGGCTCATTGTTTTCATGAAGAAGGCTGTATTTTGAGGAAATTGCAGATGATATAGTTTCATTTTGAGGAATGGATGTAATGAAAGTGTTGAACGTTGTAACAGGTAGAGTTTTGGAATCAGGGCTACAGTGTAAGAAAATGCAAGAACAGCACTTTCTCATAACCATTTATGGCAAGTTAAGAATGACTTGGACTACTCCCCCAGAGTACTCGATTGCTCAAAGTTTCCCTCTGCCTTTCTTTGAGTTTCTTCAAAGCATTGTTTTTATATCTTTGTAGAATTGCCTTCTCTGGAGCTCAAACATGTTATAGAGTTGATTGCCTATGTATTACCTTGTAGTTCCTCTCTTCTTTGTGTTCTGTTTGCACTCTCTCCAGCCAGATCCCTCTTAGTTTTGTTTATATATCAAAACTATCCCTCCCCTTTTGCCAGTTGCTTTGCACTCTAGTAGGGTTTTGTCAAAAAAAAAATTCACTAATTTTTAACCACTCCTTCAATCTCTGAAGGGGGGAAATGATAGTATTGTTTCACTGCTTTTCTTAAACAAACAATTTCAATTTTCCCTTTATTTATAACTAGACAGATTATTTGTATTACAATAGTAGCTAGAGATTCCAACTGAGATCAGGGCTATTATAATACCTGGCTTCTAAAGAACAGTGGTAAACAAAAGTCTTGTGCCTATATCCTTCAATCCCAGTCCAAAAATGTTCATGAAAGATATAGTATTTAAAAGATGAGAGCTAAATAAGAAAGCTCATTTCATATGTTATGCCTTATAATAATGCTAACAAGGGTTTAAAAGAAGCACAAGCAAAGCTTGCTGGTTTCATTCATTGGCACCCCATGCTTAAAGCAAAACCTATTATTCTGGTTAGTAAAATTTAATATATAATTCTTGAGATACAACCTGCTTGGGACTCTCATAAAAAATAAATACAAGAACTGACCCTTCTGTAGTAGCTGGGATGATCAGAAGTATCTTGGTAACCATCTGGTTATGCAGGCACTTATAGCCATGTTCCTACTATGATTAGTTCTTATGTAAAGTGAAGAAAATGCATGCAGCCTAAATGTGAACATTTTTCCTGTCCTCTCTGATTAACCACGGTTACAAAGACACCAGTCATCCTTTACTCTCCATCACTGTCTGAGAAATCTAGTATTGTTCCTTGCCTTTTTCCTCAGTAAGTTGATAAGAGAATGCAAAAGCTTCTTGGGTTGAATTTAAGAAGACGTGTCTAAGAATTATGCTGTCAAGCCTAGTGGTCAGAGAGAGATTACCAGGAGGGCAGGAGCAGGGCAGGCTCTTGGCTGGAGCTGTGGTGGAGCAGAACAGGAGCAGAGTTTGGCAAGAGAGACAAGCTCAGGGAGGCAGAGTCCATGGGCATTTGAACAACCAACGAGGAGCTGCTGCTGAGCTTAAGAATTGGCCTTCTGGCTTCCTCAGACAGTTGGGCAGGGTGCTCCATCAGGCAGCCTAGGTGACTTGGTAGGGTGTCAGGAGTACTGAGCAGCACATCTGCAGAGCCTTACTTCTCACATAAATTAAATGGTTTTATAACACATCTCTCTTGTAGAACAATTCAACTGGCCACTGCTTGCTGTTTATCTGAAGTGAAATTACCTGTTCCACGAAGTATTACATCTTGTAATTTGAGAATGACACATGCCCAGGGTTCTGCCAATTTAGCAGGGATTAGGTTTTCCCTTTGCCTAAATTCATAAGCTGCTGCACTCCTAAAGCTAGCTCACTGAAGAGAAAGCACAGTGCAGCTGTCACCCTTCAGGGCTTTGAGGAAGACTGACTAATCTTCATGTAAATCATTTCTTAAAAACTCAGATCAATTTGAAAAGTGATGGACAGATAGCAATGGTTTGAGGCAGGGTTGGAGTGGGAAGCTTCTCACCACCCACGCCTGGCAGTATACCTCAATCCTGCTAGTGCAACACACCTGCTGATCCTGTGTAGACCCATGAAAGGGCCAGTGATCCCATATTGCTTGGCAGTTTTGGTAACGTGCTGTAATGCACAATTTTTCGCATATGATCAGATATCCAGAATTTGAAGCAAGACCCTCAGAGTGAGAGGCTAATGCTGTCACAGCTCCTATTTTTGTATGAATTTCAGCTCGTTTTCTTTCCCCATAAAAAGAGGTAATCTGAGGAGTATTCTTGTCCTCCATTTATTACCATTTTATTTTTTGTATTGAGGTAGCACCTCGGAGCCCCAATTGTGGAGCAGGACCCCATTGTGCTAGACACGGCACTAACACAACAGACAGTCCTTGTCCTGAGTGGGGAAAGAGAAAAGTGTTAAAGATAGTCATAAATAGTTTAGAGTTTAAAGCCAGAAAGGACCCATCAGATCATCTAATCTGACCTCTTGTATGTCACAGGTCACAAACACCACCCAGCTCCCACACGCTAAACCTAATAACCAGAATTGGACCAAAGCAATACAGCTCACAGAAGACTAAACTTTTATGTGTCACAAACAAAGGATAGGAGGGACCAAGCTGCACCAATGCCTGAGGCCCCTGCAAGGGCAGGGAACTGATTTATTTTTAGAGAGACCCAGGTAATCCTTGCAAGTGACTAATGCCCCAGACTGCAGAGCTATGCTAAAAAACAAGCTGGCCCTGCCAATCTGACCTTCTCTCCAGACCCCACATGTGGCGCTCACTTAAACCCACCAGTCAAGCACCTGAGAGAGAATTCTGATTACCACCTCAGAGCGTTGGCTCACTCCACCCAATGTCCCATCGCTGACACAACTTTTGCAGGTCAGTTGGCTTTGTTTGTGAGCAAGATTTTTAATTTGGGGGGAAATTATATTTTATTTTGGGAAATTCCACTGAGGCATGTATTGGGGGCACAGGTGTGGAACATAGCCTTGCCTAAATCAATCCTTCCAATCAGAATAATAAATAAGGGAATTTTTTTTCTTTATTTCAGGGCCATTCCCCTTATTCCCTGTAGCTGAAATTTTACTTATCCGTACATCTGTTTCATGAAATTCTCACATGCTCTTACAAGTTCTTCAAAAAAACATAGTTGAGCAATAATGCTTTAACTGCTTAATACTGCTTTTTATTTGTACTTTATTATTTGAAACATTTTTTTTGGTAAGGATAAAGCTTTTTATTTTAGAAAAGCAGGGCTGGATCACTCATTGGGATTGATAATGAAATACAGACCCTTTACTTCTGGGTCACCACTTCACCTCTAGATCAGGTAAGTCAGTAGTGGCCAAAAGTTGATCTCATTTGATGTCTGTTTCAGTTGCCTTTGTGGAACAAGAGTGGTGATCTCAGTCTAGTTCTCAGTGAACAGGCATCCACAGCACAAAATCTATCACCTTAATCAGAATGAATTGGCACTCTTGTTAGTAGTCTCACCAGAGGGGACAACGAATGAATGGCCTGTGGATCGTGAACAGGGATTTCTCCTGGTCTCACAACCAGTATTGAAACACGTTGGCAAGACAACGTGAAAGGTATGTTCTTCTGTTTCCAGATCCATTATGTAGCATTTATCTATGTGTTGTTACATATGATGTCCACAAGCTCAAGTTTTTTCAGTAGTAGATCCCTTTTAGACGTCAAACTGTCAATGGCTAATACAATCATGGCTAGCAAAACTCATAACTTTCAAGAAGCAAACACTGTCATGGCACTCTTTTGAAACATGCTCAAGCATTTAAAATTAATATTCATTCATTTTAACTGGTGACTTGATCATTGCAAAGGAATGGCCTCACGTTGCTAAATTACTCATTTAAAGAAAAATGGCTTTTCAGTTTGAGTTTAGCTCTTCTGTGCGTTATAACAAAGGGAAAATACCTCACTGGGGCAAAAGAATTGTTCGGTACATTAATACAGTTGTTTGTGGCAACAAGCTTGTGTTTGTTAACAAAAGTATGGTGATCAGTGCTATAACTAGAACTAAAAACAACAGATAAGGTAGCAGCTCCAGTCCCAGCAACCCTAACTATCACCCCTTCCATATTAATGCTCTTGATCAGAGTAACTAAACTGAGAGGTGAGATGATTAGCCAATATGTTTTTCTTTTTCTCAAAGAACATGTTCACATCTCTGTATCACTTTTTTCAGATCCAAAAGATAGATATGTAGATGTAATTAGGTAACATATCATTCACTGTTCTTTGAGGTAAGTAGTTAACTACTTTCCCATCACAAGAACTTGGGCTTGCCTACACTGGCACTTTGCAGCGCTGCAACTTTCTCACTCAGGGGTGTGAAAAAACACCCCTCCCCCCCGAGTGCAGCAAGTTTCAGCACTGTAAAGTGCCAGTGTAGACAGTGCACTGGTAGCTATTCCCCTCATGCAGGTGGGTTTTTTTAGAGCTCTTTAACGTTGCTAGTGAAGACATGCGCAAGGGCAGATGTATTATGCCCAAGTGGCAGATGTATTATGTAATACTACATGAAGACAACGATGACAACTGACATTTGTAGAAGGCACCTCAGTGTTATGAAAAACTGATTAATAGATCTTTTGTGTAACAAAAGATATCATTAACTAGCTGTTGGGAATGTTGGAGGGTTTGGTCATAGGATATAGAGCCTTTCATTGTCAGGTCATCAGTGCAAATCCAACTCCAAGGTAGTAACAAATGAAAGTTGTGATCATCTGATAGCTCTCTTGTGACTCATAGGAAATGAACTTGTGGTTCAGATGACAGGTTTCCACAGCAACAAAACACAATTGCTGCTAATAAATACCCATCTTGACAATTTTTGCAGAAATAAAGCTAAGGATTCACTGCATAGAGAAATTACATTAGTCTTTCAGTGTAAGAGGTCACCCTTCCTGTGCTGTGGAAGAGCTGTGCTGATTCCATAGATAAAGATATCATTCCCATATTTGACTCTTTGTGTAAGCATTACATTGACTAACACTGGAAATAAATTAAGGATATTGCACCATCCTCTGATGAAAAGGTCTAGAATAAGAAACTGATCTAATTACAGCATAAATATATGACAAGACTCTAATGATCCTTGGCACATACACTATAATGTGAAATTCCCTTAGCTGGAAAGGTGGGGAATTTATGAGAAATTCAGGATTACGTGTAATTAAAAATCACATCTATAGCACTATAAACTTACATGAAGTTTTACAAACAGTTGGGTATGTTTCCTGTCCGGAAGATATAAAATAAGGTAAACAAAGGCAAGGCACAGCCCAATAGTGTGCGAAAGGGAGGAGTTGGGAAATTAGAGGTGGTGAGTAGGTGCATTCTTGGAACACAGGAGTTTCAAGAAGGGAGTGAACTGGAATAGGGAGAGAGCCATTGGCAGATGATAATAGGGAGAATGCCCTGTTAGTAAGGAGGCAGAGAGCGGAGAGTGATGGAAAGAGATGAAGGGAATAGTAAAGCAAGGAGATTGGGGGGAACAGGAGGAAGTCAGAGCAAAAGGTATAGGGAAGCAAAATTATGTAAAGCCTTGTACATGAGGATGAGGGACTTAAACTTGATGCACAAATAGTTAAGATGGTTAGATGAGGCTTCAAGAGGGGGTGACCTAGACAGATATTGAAAAGATATTTGAAACAGTGCCCTTTAGAATAGACTGGAGTGGGAGAAATGAGGTCAGAGATTTATACTATTCCAAGCAACAAGTAGCCAAGACCTGGGCAAGGGTTTACCAGTAGAATAATGAGGAAAGGGCAGAATGGGTGGTATTAAAGGGCAAAAAAGCAACACAACACATTGAGAAACTGGGCATGGCGAGAGGAAAATAGAGGATGTGTGCCCAGCAGATGGGAAAAATGCTGAAATTTTCAATTCAGGAAAGAATTGCTGGAGGAAAGAATCTCTCTCTCTCTCCCTCTCTCTCCAAAACTTAACTTGATGGCAGGATTCTCCAGGGTCTCCTCTCTTCCTGAAACACTGCATATGTCATGAGTTTCTGGTCATGGTGCATCATGGGGGACATAGTCTGTCTGGGGAATCCAGGACATAGAGAAGAATGAGGGAATAGGGCACCCAAACTACAACTGCCATAAATAGGGCTACGATTTAGTCACTGGTATTTTAGTAAAAGTCATGGACAGGTGTCGGGCAATAAACAAAAAGTCATGGCCCCTGACCTGTCTATGACTTGTACTATAAATACCCCTGACTAAATCTCGGCCGGGGTGCCGCCACTGCTGCTCCGGGGGCGGGGGGGAGCACTGCCGCTGCTGCTCGGTGGGGCTGGGGGGCCACTGCTGCTGCTCGGTGGTGGCGGGGGGCGGCCCGGGGCACTGCTGCTGCTACTTGGTGGGGGAGGCCTGGGGCACTGCTGCTGCTGCTCGGTGGGGGCGGGGGGGGCAGCCTGGGGCGCCGCTGCTGCTGCTCGGTGGGGGTGCGGGGCGACAGCCCCAGCTGCTCAGGAGGCCCTGGGGTCATCCGAATCGGCCACTGCAGAAGTCCCAAAGGTCCCAGAATGTCACAGAATCTGTGACTTCCATGACCTCTGTGAAAGACTTGCAGCCTTACCCATAAGGCAATGCAGAAGCATTTCAGAAATTACATTTTTCAGCCAAAATCTGAAAAAATGTAAACTTTTCAGTTTTTGGCTGTTTGGGTTTTTTCAATGAAAAGTCAGGATTTCTTCCAGAAGCAGACATTTTTCATGAAAATTTTCATTGAGTTGAAAACCCAATTTTCAGTCAATAAACTGTTTCAACAGAAATTTTTTGACCATCCTTAGGCAGGATATGGAAGAGAAGAGAGGGAGCAGGACAAAGGCTGGTGGTAGAGAAACAGATACAGGAATAATCTCTATAGGGGTGTCAGAGGAAACTGTGGAAGTACATGAGGGTGCAAAGAGTGAAAGGGTAAAAAGAGAGGAGGAGAGGACCACAAATAGAATTCTGGAGAACACGAACAGGTAGGGGACAACTAAGGCTTAGGAGATGCTGCAGGAGCAGCCAGCTAAGCAAAGCAAGAGAGCAGAATTATACACAGAAACCAAGAGAAAGATGAGGAAAGGGAGATCAATCAGCTATGTCAAAGCTACAGACAGATCATGAGAAAAAAAGGTTTGAGAAGTGAGCTTTTGATTCCTCATGGAAGAGGTCATTGGTGTCCGTTGTAAGAGCAATTTTATTGGAGTGGAGAGGGCAGAACCCAGATTGTTGATTCTGAACGAATTGGAGAAGAGGAAGTACAGAAACTGATATTAACGCCATGCTCTAGCACTGTGGAGTCAAAGGGGAGGAGACAGATAACTTGATCTCCCTTGCTTAACAACCATTGTGTGTTTGCTTTGGTTTCTCCCCACCCCAAGATGAGGAATACAGGAATAGGTTTGAAGGCAGAGGAAAAATGGTCAGAAGGGAGCGAACAATTAAAAATCCCCACTCAGGGTGGAAACATAGGCGTGCGCAGCACATTTCATTAGGGGGTGCACTCAGGGAATTTTTTTTTTTAAAGGCGAACATCATAAAGGTTGGGGTGGGGGGGTGCTGTATGCAGGAAGGGGCTCAGGGCAAGGGATTGGAGCAGAGGAGGGGGGTATGAGGGGGCTCAGGGAAGGGGGTGGGG